AGAGGCCCGGCAAACGAATCCAAAGGACACGTTTGTAAGGTCATTGTGACATTAATGAAATTCTTTATCATGAAATGCACATCGGAGAATGTAAAATGTGCTAGACATAATATATAAACAAGGTAAGGAAGACTATAATGTAATCATCGCTGCAGACCATTTCTATCGTCAAACCACTTAATAAAATTAATATTTGATCTCAAAGAACACGACAAGTTACGTCCCAATGAGTTTATTACGAAATTACTTTGGATTGATAAAAAAAAATGTAAATATAAAATTTATTCATTAACTCATTCTTAAATTAAGTAAGATCCCATTATGTATGTTGCGTATGTATGTATGTTGTGCCTAGATTTTGTGACCTTTGGGCACTAAACAAAGTAATTAGGAGGTATTTACCTATGAAATTGGCATTCTGAAGTACTGGCCACTTCAAATAAAAATAATTTTTGTTTGGTTAAAAATTCTTATTTCAACTTAATTTTATTTTAAAAACATTGCATTTTTTTTTCAAAATCAGTCATTTGTTCATTGATTAGCGTTATGTTTTCATCATATTTGAATCTTTTCGTTACCATGGATGCGTTAAAAATTCGAGTAATTATGGAATATGAGTACCGTCGAGGCCTGTTATTGAAAAATGAACCCCCTGGTCGTCTGAAAACTTTGGTCGATAATGACGAATCAAAGGCGATTGTGGAAGCTCATGATACTGAATTAGTAGCAGCTTTAGACGTTAGCATCAAAACAATATTGGTCCATGCGTCAAAAAATCAAGTTATAAAAGCTTGACAAATGTGTGCACCACGAACTCAATGATCGCCAGTGCAGATACCGCGTTGAGACGTGCATTGCACTGCTCTGAATTTTGAACCACATTGATTTTTACCCTTGTTCTGTTTGACAATCGAATAAAATAAAGAATGAACACAATGATGGAGAAGCTCGCACGTCTTCAAACAACTTTAATCAAGCGCTTGTCACTTGTCACCGCTGCTTCTGCACAACAGACGGTCTCCAAGTTACAAATGCTAGGGTTGGAAGTTTTCTGTCATCTGCCGTACATCACCAGACCTTGTGCCTACAGACTTCAAATTTTTCAAAATTTGGATAACTTTTTGGGGGGGAAAAAATCGATACCCGAGTGGCAGTACAAAATGTCCTTGTAGAATTTGTTTGTTACAGCTATTTCATAGATAAAGATCTAATATACTGTGAATATAGGTTATTTTGGTCCGACATTTCGACACACTTGGACCGCAGCGCCACCTGACGGATACTAGCGTAGCTATAAACCATTGTCTCGATAAAACAAATATATTATGTGATTATCAACCTTATCGATCGGTCAACTAACAGACGCACTAATGATTGTATTTTATTATAAAGATAAGATGTTCGAATAGGGCTTGGTAGCGCAGTGGCTAAGCTTTGGAAAACGGCGCTGTAGATCGCGGCCTAAATTTTGCGCACGGTACGGCACAAGAATATTTATGGCTTATAAATGATTATTTATATCGATATAGAAGCTCAAAACATTTTTTTAAACCTGTACTTCTATTAGACTTACATTTTATATTATATACAAAACATCAGCGATATCGGTAAGGTTAGTGAATTTAAAAGAGGGTAAAATAAGATTTAAACTGGGTTGGCTTACAAATATTTAATTTAATGATTTCTTATATCTACGCGAACACTACACTTTGATTAAAACGACGAAGATTTTATCGCGTTTAATTTATTTTATTTTTTATATCCCACGTTTCGGATGCTTTCCAGTAGCCATAGTTACGGGGGCTGAGGTGACGTCCCGATGTCAATGTTAATCCGGAGTACCTTCAGCTTTATAAATACTATTTATTGTCCGACCTACGTAGAATGAACTTACTGAAGTCTTTGAGTGTTGTCTTTGAAGTTCTTGACGTCTTGCAGTGGTATGCTTGGATTTAATTTTAATTTTATTCATTACAGGGTCCCAAGCAGGTGGTTGTTGAGCCTCCTTCTCTAGTGAAATTAGGAGGTTTTTTTTAAATTTCAATAACGTCACATATCATCTTTAGTAGGAATCGATGTTCTTTCGCGAGGACTTTGTAGTCTATCAAATCTGGTATAATGGTTCGGGCCGTCTAGGATATGATGACAAACTGCAGGCTTCCCGGAACATTGATGCTTCACGTCAGCTGTATGTTATTTTACGTGGGTTCTGATACTTTCTACACGAACTGATAGAGAACATTGCCAGGAGTGGCTAAATTTAACTAAAAAAACTTGGAATTTTTTTACGAATTTTTCGGCAACGCACCTGTAATTCCCCTGGTGTTGCGGTTGATCATGGGCGGCGGTAGTCACTTAACATCAGGTGAGCCGCATGCTCGTTTGCCACCTCTTCTATAAAAAAAAAACGAAATCAATAAGATTATATAAAATAAGTGGTCTTAACTTAAATCTAAATGACGCCACGACTAAATGATGACATCCAGACAAAACCGGGATGACTAACTAGTTCATATAATAAAAATAAAATATCTTATTGTTATTTGTTGTTAATTGTATGAGACGTGTGGTTGAAAATAGTTCCTCGGATGCGACAGAACTCCTTAAAACTTGAATATACATATCGATGTATCGGAAAATAATTATCACCCAATGTTACGATAAAGATTTCACTTAAATATACCTACGCAAGTTTAATGTATACTTAAAATACGCATGTGCTTTCCTACGACTGGCCCTCTAGCTTCTTATTTCAACAAGGGATCCTGAAGCAGAAAATAGTCCACCGTGCAGTTCCATTGGACGTTAGTGGACTTTTTTACTCAGATATGCATGAATAGTACACGTGGTAAATAAGCACTTAAAATCGCAAATACCAATTTTTGTGATGTGGCGCGTATCGATCTCGATTATTATTAAATTATATACCTACTCGTATTACTGGCGTATTGTGAAACTTACTCCCCGAGACACCACGGGCCATTAAACACTTCACTGTGTATACTTTATAAGTTTATAACCGGTGTTTTCTTCAAAATGAGTTTTATTTGTTCTTTTTACGCAAGCAAATTACGTTGTTAATAAGATATTAAATCTTTGATGATTGGGATTATATAACAATATGACAAAAGTATTTATGCCTCAATACCCATATATATGTACTAAAGTTCCAATTAGCCTCCGATCAAAAATGTCAATATAATTGTTTTATGCGAAATAAACTTGTTATATATTATAATATTTAAATGCAATCGTCATAATCAACACGGTTAACTACTTAATAACGGAAGTAATTCAAAATAATTTAACCGCATCATTATTAATTGTGCATTAATTTTCGCTTATTGAAATATCGCTCTATTTATAGTAGATCGGTAGAGCCACACATATTGTGTGATACATATCGTGTCGATTCTTTTGAGGAAGGACCACACTCTCGCAGAATACCGGAGATCGACGGTCGAACATCACAACGATCAAATTGTATGAGGAAAAGGTTCCCACAGCATAGGTCTAATTTTTTCAGGGCGTCTTTTACGGTACACGCTATGCATGTTTGTAATACCCTCTCCAACGATATTAGGAATACTCCTTCAAAGTTCTTCTAAGACAATATTACCTGAGGGCAATTATTGACTAATACAGCTATTTTAATTTTTCTTCAATATATATATATATATATATATATATATATATATATATATATATATATATATATATCCACCATACACTATACACTTATGTATTATGTTTGGCACCTGCCAACAATCTTTAGCACCCATGGTTGACTAGCAGAAAATGCAATATGGCATTAAGTTAGCGCTATGTACCCTTTACCTTAAGGTGTTATATTTAAGTTGTTAAATAATTAAATAAATAATATTTGGAAATACAAAACACGCTTATTATGTTAAAAATTTAAATTAAAAGAGATCAAAATAGTGGCGATAGTTTTTAGAAACAAAGAAAACAGAGAATCTGATCGACTTTCATTAATAACTTCTAAACGGTGTTGAGTTTAGTAAAAAAAAAAAAAAAAAAATAGGGATCCTCCTTAAAATTTATGGGATCTTATTTAATACTATATAATAGTTTTAAAGCTTTTATTATTAATCTCTAACGAGAGAAGAATGCTGTCTCAAAACTAAAAAATTAAACACGAGTCTTTGAGTGTATGCTACTAATTTTCAAACCTTTGTATTCTGTAACTTTTTGTTTAATTAAGGCAAAGTCAAGTAATTTCGGCTCAAGTATGAAAAACTGACTAGATGAATTCCCCTCCCTACATTTGAGACGTCGCACCAAAATTACGCTAGCTTACTTTAGAGCAACATGTGGTATAAAATAAAACTATAAATAGTTATGTAATTTTATTTTCTAGAAGACAGACTGTTTCATTAACTGTACATTGTTGTTGATGTTTTATTGTTTTTGCACATAATATTTCCACGCATGTTATTGATATATAATATATACTATTGTCAGAGAGTTATTCTCCACAGAGCATTTGTCATCAGCCATCTATTGCGTACATTTCTATCAAGCGAAAAGACTTGCCGTCGCACAGACTAAGGGACGGCAGTCCAAAAATTTTTTAAATTATGTTTTTTGTTATGTAATCTAAAGTGAATCAATTAGAAAATAAACTGATCTTATAATTCAATGACTATAGTTAGTGTAACGTTAATAATAATATAGATAAATATAGATTTTATGTCTAGTTAAAAGTATAGGAACGATTTTATATAGCGGAATTGAGATATGGCCACGTATCGAGAGATCATCCCTGTGTGAGTGTAGAGTACCGGAGACCCTTTTAACTGGTAGCGAGGTATTCTATCTTAATTCTCGGAGGTGACAAGGCATCTACGTTTTGATGCGCCGCAGCATCGACTTACTATTTAGCGGACTACTTGCTCGTTTTTCAATTTTATTATATTAAAAAATATGTAATGTGTTACGGAGTAGTATTTAATATTATTTCTATCTTTTTTTTCTAGTGACGAAATTCATTCGTATCGGCATCGCAGACAAGAATGATAACCCTCCATACTTCGACAAGGAGCTGTACGAAGCAGAAGTGGACGAGAATGAAGACATCCAACATACTGTACTTACAGTTACCGCCAAAGATCACGATGAATGTAAGTAAAGTATATAGATATATTATTGTATTTTTACTTGGCACAGACCAATAAAATTAGTATTTGTTTAAATAGTTATATAACGACAATTTTTAATGGATTATGTACACATATGAAATACTAACTTCTGCCTGCTATCGGCTCTACGACACTCACGGAACGCTTTGGGATAGAGGATATGCTTACAACGACAATACACGGTCAATAGACAACAGCGCCATCCTAATAGATACTAGACATTAAAATATTATGCGTTTATGAGGAAATTTATGGGTAGGCCTATGTTCAACTGTGCACTTTTATAGGATAGAAATAAATGACAAAAAACACTTAAAAAATGTGTGGCAGTTCACACGCGATAGAAATGAAACGTTCAGAAAATAAACTTCGAGGAAATTAGACAAATGAAGAGTGTCATAGAATAACAAGTATGATAATTGTAGGATTTATCTGGTTTCAAATCACAACGTTTCTAAAGAAGTTTTCTCTTTAAAACCTTAAAATGTTAAAATGTGATAAGTGTATTACAAATTTGATTTGAATATTATAGTTTTTAAGTTAACATTAGCGGTTTAACAGAAACCACTACCTCATAATATCATCACATGTGTTTATTGGGGTATGTTAGAAGCGACAGAGGAAAACTGAAACAGGAGATGAGCAGGAGCATTTTTCCTGCCAAGCGTGGCAAATGGCAACTATAGCAAAATCATTGCTATGAGGAATTATTTGGGGGTGGTTTATCTATAGCAATGGACTTTTTATAGGCTTTATTGAATGAATGATTGGACAACGCCACATTTGGTTAAATTTCTTTAATGTGTGTAACCTTATATCATTCCGTGGATATCGTAAGAGGCGCCAGAAGGAAGCAAATCAGGAGATGAGCAGCAGCGTCTTCTTAATAAGGACTAAAAATAAAGGCAACCGGCGTCGACAACCCGCTTGGCTATATGGCAAATATCGACAAGCCCCCTGTGAGGCAATCCATGGGGACGGCCCACGTCCAGGACTTTAGTATACTTTACGGTAATGGTGTAGCCAAAGGTGAAATATACATGTTATATTTAATTTAAATTCCCTTTTATACAAACGTGAACAACGTCGAAAACTATTTATCATTTGAAATATGCAGGGGCTTGTGTAACCACTAGATATAAATATCGAATAGACTGTGATATTGGTCGCAAATCACAAGACATATCCGATATCGCTTATAAAGTGAACGAAAATTTTCCAATAAAGCTCTATTGAAATGAAAAAAAAAACAGTCGATAGATTGTAAATATCTAAAATTTCAAAGGTTCTAATATATTCTAGTAATTGAAAGTATGTGTTTAGTAACTGGCTTATAAGAGATATCCATGATGTATTTTTACTAAAAAAATTGTATATTATAACCTATAGGCATAACTTACCAGTGTGAGTGAATTATCTTTTATTGGTAATAATTTTAGGACCTCACAATTGACGTCTATTGCAAAAAACAGGATTTACGACGTTCAATTTAATCAAATCAATTGAATTGAATGATCGCGCCCCATCCTAAAATAAAGCTGTAAAACAAGTTTCAATAAACTTAGCAAATCTAACATAATGAGTAAATTAGGATTCTCGAACTGACAATAAATTTGTTATTATGGAAGAGTTATTGCGTTAAGGATCATCTTAAAACTTGGTCTTTCGTTTTTAGTTATTATAGCTTCATCACTAATCATAATGATCAAATTATAACATTTTTATCTTTACAACTACGAAAAAGTATTATAAAAATATTGAAAAGTTCCCAGTTTTCTTCCCAGTGTCTTCACTATATTCAAAGTATAACTTCAAATTCCCAAAACGGTTCTTATTATCAAATCTAACCGTATTGTAATGAATAACTATTTTCGAAACTTAACCCCTACAATAGGATATTCTCATGTAACGTGGAGCCATTTTTCATTCATAAATTGCGGGCAGAGAAACATATAGACCTGGAACATTTATTTGTAGACCAATATTAACACTAGTTCCGGGCGTGATTTAAATCCACGGCCCTGCATCCACCAAAAGGAAACGTGTAGCAACTGCACTACCAAGCCTACTATGAAATACATTCTATCTTATATTATATTTACATAAAGATTTGCATTTTATGTTCAGTAACTAATATTATAAACTCCTTTTCGTAAAAATTCACGTTATAACGTATAGGCTGGGATTTGGCCCTTTCGCACACATCCGCCTACCATCGCCGGCCCCTCCTTGAAAGAGAACAACTCCACTCTTTATTCCTCCTTGGACAAAGAGCACCAGACCAAAAGGTGCACTATCCTATATGGTCTTTATCTCCAGCATCTGCGCAACGGACCTTCCAAAATAACGCGAAGGTCGTGGGCCCAAGAAAATATTAGTTTGCGTAAGCACCAGTCTTCCGGCCCCAGCGGCGGATCTGATGTATGTCTCCGTTGCAGACTAAATTTCAGTCGCGGAGATTAGAGAGAGCTCCACGTCACAACACCGACTCTCCTCTCCTCTTGCGCTTCTGTCTCTAAAGAAACAGCGGCTCCACCAGAGTTGCGGAGGATATAGTGAATTGCGCATCGCACACCTCGGTTACAGCTGGCAGACGAGTTTTCAAATTGTCAAACAATTTACCTCTTTAAAATATTAATGTAGATAAATTGTATTATATTCAGAAGCTTGAAATCATTAAAATCTTTTTTATTTATTTAACATTTTGTACTTTTTGAGCAGACACTTCGAGCAGTACTTTCGCTTTGTTCGTTCTGTTTCCATTCCAATAAGGGATTGAATTGAATGAGAGAGTTTCTCAAATTCGATAATTCTATCTATACAAGAATTTGGTTTTAGATCAAAGATATTAAATAGCAACAAATTAGTAGTAATCACGGCCTAATGGTTCTGAATAAACCTAATTACATCATAGTTCATTCATCCTAGGCATCAAGAGTTTCGACGATTTTTGACGGCTTTGGATATATCGATATGCCGCTAAACTAATTCAGAAAATTAACAAAGATAATATTCATTTAAATAGATGCGTACAACAGTGTAAGCACTAAGACAAGAACTTACTTTTATCAACATAATTAACTAATTAAAATTCATAAGCAAATGTAAATCGGATTGGAGGAGACTTAAATTTGCAGTGGAAAATACGTTCTATACACTAGTCTACATACATAACGGTCGATGCTCCAACTGCATATGTAAGTCTCTAATCGTAAAAAATATTTCATTACTTTCTGTGCCCCTCTTTTCACCGGCAATTATCATGCACTTAAGCCGCGCGACATCACGATGCTTATAAAACCATACGGCAGCTTTTGTTGTTGCAAGTGTGGGCCTGCTCAAACCGGGGTGGTACCACACGACCTCGCAGAAGACTGTCGTGAAGCGACAGTTAAAAACTAAAGAACCTAACCTAACAACGAAACAACCAAAAAGAAAATAATTTATTTAAAATTTGTAAAGATATTTACAGTTTCTTTTATAAAATGTAAAGCCACAATTAAAAACTATAGAACCTAACCTAACAACGAAACAACCAAAAAGAAAATAATTTATTTAAAAAAAATTGTAAAGATATTTACAGCTCTTTTTTTTATAAAAAAAAAGGTATGAGGGTGATGATGGGCTGTAGTGATGATAGTGAATTACAATTTTTAAAAAATATAAAAGTTAATAAAGATAAATGAGTACGGAAACAATGTATGTACAGGCTATGCCTGTGGTAGATGCACAGCGCCTAATCTAGGTACACGCAGCGCTTGAAGTAGGTACACACAGCGACCAGAATGAGCACACACAACACCCGGAGTAGACACACACAGCGCCTGGAGTAGACACGCAGCGTCTGGAGTAGGTCCACGCAGCGTCTGGAGTAGGTACACACAGCGTATTGAGCAGGTACACGCAGCACTTAGAGTAGGCACACACACACCGCTCGGAGTAAGCACACACAACGCCCGGAGTAGACACACACAGTGCCCGGAGTAGACACACACAGCGCCCGGAGCGCCGGAGACACGCAGCGTCTGGAGTAGGAACACGCAGCGCTTGAGACAAGCACGCTCAGCGGCCGAAGATAGCGCGGGCACTAATAGGTGGAGGCGTGGGCGTGGCTAGGCGACGACTTCAGGAGAAGGCAGAGGCTTGCAAGATCCCGAGGCAATGCGGATAAAAGCTTTAAGAGGTGCTTCTCGTATCAAAGCTGAAGTGAGAACCTCTATTGGCCGATTCTTCGGCTTTTATACTTTTTGACGGATCTGGGATAAGAACGAGAAATTATTTGAAATTATTTAAATTAAAAGCAAATTTTTGTAAATGGCCAAGAAGAAAAGAGTATTTTTGAAGTAAAAACATCAGGCCGGTAACGATATTTGAATAAAAATTGCCATGACAACCAGATAAACAACGATGTCAAAACATGTCAAATTTTGGTTTTAGGTTCGTAATAGAGAAACGGCAAGATTTAAGTGAAAAATGAGATATTATTGATATAGGAAAAAAGGTAGCGCAACAGTGCGCACGAAGCCCGAAATTGCAGAGTTACGGAGAACTAAATAAAATACCGAAAAAGGTAGACTCCATTGACACCGATTTAAAAAGTGCTGATAACGTGAAAATACGATGTGAAAATGATTTGTTATTGTATTCTTATGGTTTAAAAACGTTACAGGATCCTATGAAAATAAAGGTGATGCAAAATATCCAGTTTTGAGGCTAATGCAGAAAATCAAAAACAGAATGGAAAAATAAATTTAAAATAGTGTAAAATGATATGTAAGTAGCATAACACTACAAGACCAGATGCTTTTCTTCTGGGTTTCATCTGGTGAAGGCAGGTGGCCGAAGGCCGACCCCCCCCCCCCACCCCATCAACATGGTAGCGAAATTAAATAGAAGACTTCCCCAGGAGAGTACCAGCACCCCTGGAGAATCCGCTCGAGACTAAACCTGCTTGGAGCAAACGGAGCAATAAGTCAAAGGCGCCCCCTACCACGCTATCCGTGAATTTCTGCAATATCAGGGGACTTCATTCAAAAATTAATGCCATCCACTACCATCTGCAAACGGCGAAGCCGGCCTTGCTCTTTCTAACCGAGACACAGGTGTCCTCTCCGGCTGATACTTTGTACCTCTCCTACCCAGTAGTAATCACGGCCTAATGGGTACCCGGGGTACAAATTATAACACTCCTTTGTGCCCCGGGCAGGAGTTTGCGTGTACGTCAGGGAGGATATCTATTTTCGACGCCTCGGCAGCCTTGAAGATACGGACTTGTCTATTTTATGGCTACGCGTAGACACCGACAACCATTTTCGCGTCTAGGGTGCCTCTATAGGTCCCATAGCGGTAATGCCGATACAGACCGACTCATCGACTACGTCCAGATGGCTGTAGACTTCGTGCTACAACAGATACTTGGTAATTTTAACGCCCACTACGCTGAATGGCTTGGTTCTCATTTAACCGATCATGCGCCTAGATCTGTTTATGACTTTGCTTTGACATATAGTCTGACACAACTGGTTACCTCGCCTGTACGGATCCAAGATGTGGAACATCATGTACCTTCCCTGTTGAACCTTCTACTGACCTCTAATCCGGAAGGATATCAGGTTTCCGTCGATGTCCCTCTTAGCTCCTCGGACTCGGACTTGTTTGATCCGGAGTACAGCGTCACTCACGCTCCCATCGCGGTATCGTACCGCAGGTTGCCGCCGTGTTTGCCATTATAGGTCAACCGATTGGGACGGAATGCGATCTTTTTTGCCAGCGTTGTTGATGATTCAGTCACTGATGTGGTGCTACAGGGAATGGAAATTTTTATTCTATCATCTGTATTATCTATCGGAGGTAGAACCCAGCCATGGTTTGGTCGCTCATGAAAAATTGCATTACGTCAAAAACGAAAGAGTGCTACCAGTACTGGGCTCGCGTATCGACGTCTCGAGATGTAAATACCAGCGCTTTTAAAAAGAAGTATAATTCTGCCTGTAGGTCCTTGAAAAGTGTCTAGGCAAGTCAAAGCACATCGGCGGAATTAGCAAGAAACTAGTTCGTGTTCCCGAAGGAAGACGAACTAGTTTCTAATCAATTCTGCCTTCTGGTCTCTAGCCAAGGCTGTCCAAGGAAACTTTTGTCAGAAATCACTCCCATCTCTGCACAGGGAGGACGAGTCACTGGCCCATGCCGCAAAGGACAAAGCCCGTCTGTTGGGCTCTCTTTTTACGTCCAACTCG